TGCTTTGCTGGGGGTGGCTGACCCTGATCCTCCAAGGGAGTTAGGCTTGCTGCCAGTTAACCGTGGGGCTGGGCTGAGCGTGATGAAAACCCCAGAGTCCCCAGGACGAGTCTGAGATCAACACGCCACTGGGCCAGGAGCCCAGGGGAAGGCTACAGCCACGGCATTCAAGAACCCCTCCAAGGGGTAGGGTCCTGGAGGAGCAAAGGGCTGGCTCTCCTCCTGGGGAGAGCACGCCAGCCAACCGAGGTCCTCGCTGGTCCTGACAGCAGACGGAGCACTCAGAACTATAGCCACTGTCTGCATTTCCTCGCTCTCTCTCTTTAGAAATATATATATATTTTTTATTTACTTATGTGACTGCACTGGGTCTTAGTTGCCACATGTGGGGTCTAGCTCCCTGACCAGGGGATTGAAGCTGGGTCCCCAGCACGGAGCCCACAGAGTCTCAGCCACTGGACCCCCAGAGGAGCCCCTGCCATCTTCTCACTCTTAACGTGTCGCTGAATCCTTTTCCTTTCTTTCCCTTTGAAAATGGCTCTGCAGGGTTTCTATCTTCCCCCCTTTTCTGAATAACAATGATGTTTGCCATGCTTGAGGGTCACTTGGGGAGTCTGCTGAACCTTTAGATCCTGTGTCATCACACAGACTTTTAGGTTTTGGTCAACAGACGATAGAGAAAGACAGCAAAGGAATTCTGCTGCAGTTCTTAATGTGGAGAATCTTATCTTTCTCCCGTAAGTCACGGGACAGGATAGGGCGTGGACAGCTCTGGAGGAGGAACGGGCGTCTCACCACGTTGAGGTGGAGAGCTTGGTCCATCACACCCACATCCTTAGCGGTGACACTCAGGCATGATCAGGGAAGCAGGGGCTGCTGACCGCCGTGTGTGGGCTGACTCGATGAGGGAGGGCATCTTCGTGGACGTGGGAGGCTGCGTGAGCACACAGGCCGGGCAGTGGACGCAGAGAGCAGTGTGGGTGCGTCCTGCTGCCAACTGGGCCTCTCCTTCCGGAACTTTCCGCCCACCTCCAGGGAGGGCTGCGGGTCACTCTGCTTTAGCTGCTTGACCCTGGCTCCCAGCTCCCCCCTCAACAGCACCCTATTGGTTCAAAGATCCCAACTGGGCTGATCAGCTGTCCTAGGATGAGGCGTTTGGAGCGGTCAGTGGAGAGATGCAAAGACTAGGAATTGTCTGCATCTCCATGAATTCTGGCCACCGAACCTCCCAGAACCAGCCTGGTTCCTACCCTTCCTAAGTCGCGGGCATTCAGCTCCTCTTTGAATTCTGAATAAATACACTCAAATTCTTCCAATAAACTGTCTTCTTTGTTTGTTTGTTTGTTTTTTAAGTGAGGGGGGTGGGCAGTAAAAGGATGCGGGGAGGCCAAAAATGGATTCAGAAACCAGGTTAGAAACACTTCTCTTAACGCCCTGGGTACAGACTTGGTTCTAAGATTCCCAGCAGACAATGCAGACGGGAAATGGGGTTGTTACACCATCACGGTCTATGACATACAAAAGCCATCCAGTTGCTCAGAAGGACAGCTGTTCCTGGTACCAGACGGGAAATTTCTCCCAGGGGCCTCGTGTGACAAAGCGTCTCCAAGACATCTTTCCACCTTCTCACAGCACGTTCCACGGGCTGCCACTTACAAGACCCTTCACACAGGCCGAGGGCATTACTCTCAAACCTCAGGGTTACGAAATCAGCTCCGGGGCAGTGGGAGCGATGGACAGTCCGGGCACCTTGACGTGGGCATAGATTCGAGCAGGAGGAAGAGTAGACAGATTGTATGCCCTCCACGCAAGCCTCACACCAAGTGTGATGGGGAAACCAGGGAACCAGGGCCCACGGGGAGGACCCCGTGAAGCAGGACATGCTCTGCCTGCATACGGACTGCGACCTTCGGGCTTCATCAGCAGGCTGGACAGGGCTGGTTTCCAGTTGGGGAAGGTCAAGGACGTGAGCTCTGTGCTTCAAAGGCAACAGCACGGGCTACTGTCCCTGGTCCGAACACCCGCCCCCCAAAGCGTGTCTCTAAGGAAGCTGAGCCCGCACCCGACCTAATCAATGAAAGTCTTTTTACCAGCAGCCCCGGCCACTCCTGAGTTCAACCCCTGGGTTGGGAAGATCCCCCTGGAGAAGGCAAAGGCTACCCACTCCAGTATTCTGGCCTGGACTGCACAGTCCACTGGGGTTGCAAAGAGTCGGACACGACTGAGCAACTTTCACTTTCACACAGGTCACTCTACACCTTCCTGAGCCCCGGCCGCAGACAGCAGCCAGACACAGAGAAGCCTTAACCAGCCACACGTGGTGCGCAGGGGCTAATAAGACACCTCTGCAGCCGAGCGTTTTCTACTAGGCTACCCAGGTGGTGCTACTGGTAAAGAAGCCGCCTGCCAATGCAGGAGACATAAGAGACTTGGGTTTGATCCCTGGGCTGGGAAGATCCCCTGGAGAAGGAAATGGCAACCCACTCCGGTATTCTTGCTGGGAGAATCCCATGAACAAAGGAACATGGCAGGCTACAGTCTATGGGGTTGCAAAGAATTGGACACGACTGAAGCAAATTAGCTCCCAGGCATGCACGTTTTCTAGCCAAGCACACCGAATGGTCTTTAAAATCACTGACCAGAAATGGGCAGCATGGACTCCTGGCAGCCCAGGAACTGAAGGTTGGGCATGCCTCCACCTGCAGGCTCCCCCAGACCTCCCAGACTCTGCATCTTGGCTGCTCCCTTCTGCCTTCAGAAGTGACCCTGGTCTTAACAGGATGACCATCCTATGCCCACAGGTCAGTCAGTCCTCCACTCCCCAGCCAGTGAGGTGAACTGCAGGTCTTGGCTTTTCTGATGTCACCATGTGCTGGGTGGGATGGCTGTGTGTGCTATGCATAGTCGCTCAGTCGTGTCTGACTCTTTGTGACCCTGTGGACTATAGCCCGCCAGGCTCCTCTGTCCGTGGGGATTCTCCAGGCAAGAATACTGGAGTGGGTTGCCATGCCCTCCTCCAGGGGATCTTCCCAACCCAGGGACTGAACCCACATCTCCCGCATTGCAGGCGGATTCTTTACTGTCTGAGATGCCAGGTGTCCCACCCCCCTTGCCAAATTCATGTCTTTTTCAGGAACCTCAAAAAGGGAACTTAAGTGGAAACAAGGTTACAGCAGATGTAAGGGATTTGGGGGAGGTCATCCTGGGGTCGGATGGCCCTTCATACAAAGCAACTGTGGTCCTCAGAAGGAGGGAAGCGGCCCGTGGACATGGACAGACACCCAGCGGGAGCGGGCCACATGCCCAGGGCGATGGGGGCAGACGCCGAGTGTCGCCTCCGCGGGCCAAGGAACACCAAGGGCTGCTGGCATCACCAGGAGCTGAGAGAAAGGCCTGGAGCAGACTCTTCCGCAGCCCCTTCAGAGGGACCACGGCCCTGCTAAGAGCTTGGTTCTGGCGTCCGGCCTCTGGAGCCGTGAGAGAATAAATTGCTGTTGTTTAAGCCACCTGATTTGGGGGTACATTGTCATCGCTGCCCCCACGAAATTAATACAACCTCGTTCTGTTGTAACCAACCCAGGCCCGATTCGAGAAATAGGACACCTGGTGAAGGTCTGCTCTGACCGCCCTCCTCTGAGAGGCGGTGCGTGATGTAGTAGTTGAGAGTCTCAGGACCCCTGTCGAGGAAACTGGGGACGTGCTCTGGGGCACTGGGACATCAGGGCTAGAACACACCTGTCTCTCTGGCTTCACATGTAGGTTCCCACCACACATGGCCCGCATCGTCTGCATGAGGACCACCGCGTCACAGGCCATCTGTACAGTTACGCGTGACCTCAGTCATCATGCGGATGACTTGAGAGGTGCTAGCAGCAACATCCCAAACCACCAGAAGAAGAGGCCCCCACCTTTCCTTGTGAGTCAAAGAGACTGAAAACTGCATTGGTGCTGGCCTTGCGGAGAGAGTACAGCTCCGGCTGTACTCCGAGGACTGCAGGTCCTCTTGCAAATGCAGCCAGAGACACAGGAGGACCACTCCAGACCTGACGCCCAAGGGCAGGTATGTGTCCCAAATCACCGTCTTCCTGAACAAGAATTTCCTCTGTCATCAGAGAGAGTCGGAACGAGTAGGGAGATGCCCTGAGACACAGGAGAGGCAAAAATGAACCACCTGCTTTATGGTTTGGGGCTCCCCTGGTGGCTCCAGGGTAAAGAACCTGCCTGCCAATGCAGGAGACACGGCTTCAGTCTCTGGGTGGGGAAGATCCCCTGGAGAAGGAAATGGCAGCCCACTCCAGTATTCCTGCCTGGAGAATCCCATGGACAGAGGAGCCTGGTGGGCTACAGTCCACAGGGATCACAAAGAGTCTGACGCAACTTGGCAACTAAACAATAACAACAACTTTATGGTTTGCCATAATATTTCCAATTACAATCAACGGTGCTCAGTGGAGAATAGTTTATCCTTAGATCACAAAATCTCATGAGCCTAAAGAACTCTCTCTTGAACACACACTTCCTGCCCCTGTTTCTCTAACAGATGAACCCCAGCTACCCAGGGCCCAAAACAAAGTCAGGATGTGCCAGAAAGAAGTAAGCCTCAAATCCCTCAAATGTGGTACCAAATTTGAGTCCCAAAGACCCAAATCCCTGTGGCTTGTGGTCCACCCCGAGGCAGACAACAGGAGGGTACGGGGCTGAATCTTAGCTTCACACCACTCCTGACTTCCACCATTCCATGTGGCTGTCTTAAGCCCGACAGGATGGCGATGTCTGCATTAACCCCCGCAAACCACGCCCAACGGGTGGGGGTCAGCGCAGGAAGAAAGGGACCCCAGGGAACCCCGTTGTTCCAGAGCTCAATTTGTTCTTTGGGGACGGACCCAGACGCGCGCTCAGCACCATCGCTACAGCCACCCCAGTGGCGGCGTCCCCCGTGGCCCAGAGCGGCTCCCCTGGCAGCCCTGCACCCACCTGGAACCAAAGCATCAATGCCTTACTTTTTCTGGAGCGAGAGAAGAACCGGATGCCCCCCGGCGAGGTGGACGGGTTGGAGCTGGGGGAGGAGTCTTTGGACGAGGAGCGGAAGATCCCGCTGAAGCTCATGCGACGTGGGGAACGCGGCGGGGACTCCTGGTAGGAGAACGGGAACACGGTTTTGGGGGAGCCAGGGCTGGTCTTGGGGCGCACGGGGGCAGACACGGGGCTGGAGGGCCGGGGCTGGGGGCCTCTGGTGAAGAAGCCTTTGGAGGGGCTGCCCGAGCCGAAGGGGCTGTCCACCTGCAGACAGACAGACAGACAGACAGACAGACGGGTGAGGTCCCTCGGAGCCTAGACGGCGGCCTGGGCGGACCTGCCCCCCTCTGCTGTCCCCTGCCACCCAGCTGGAGGGTCCAGGGCACCCAGACTGAGAAACAGCCCCACAAGGCTCTCGCACAGACAAGGGGCTGCCTGGGCGGGGGGCGGACAGGACGGGACCCAGGGACGACCCATCCACAGGCTGGGCCGCACCGCACCGGGAGCCCCCCGGCCTCCCTCCAGCCAGCTCTCTGCAAGGGGGCTTCCTGGAAGCAGGGAGGACAGCCAGGGCAACCGCGAAGCCTCGAAACACGGCCTCTTCCCCCTGTCCTATCTGCAGCCCCGTCTCCTGCCCTTCACTTCTCAAGAACACGCGTCTGTCCTTGAGGTCTGACTGCCGTGCCCCTCCTCAAAGGAAAGAGCACAGACCCCCATGACCTGAGAGTCAGGAAGTCCGGGGCTCTGTCCTGGTGTGGGAAGGGACGAAGTTTTCACCTCTAAGCAGCTTCCACATTGGAGTGACCGCAGAGGTTAGGGAAAAAAGTTAATGAGGCTGAAAACCTCTGAGGCTCACTTGGGCCATGACTTGAAATCACCACCAGTTATGGTTTGAAAAAGTGCTAGACTCCGTCTTCAAGCCAACGCACGCAACTCATGGACTGGAGGGATTTCTAACGTGCCCTGCTGGTGGGTTTAGGAACTGGTATTCACATCTGAATGGCTTCCCTCATAGCTCAGCTGGTAAAGAATCCTCCTGCAATGCAGGACACCCCAGTTTGATTCCTGGGTCAGGAAGATCCCCTGGACAAGGGATAGGCTACCCACTCCAGTATTCTATGGTTTCCCTCATAGCTCAGCTGGTAAAGAATTTTACCTGCACTGTGGGAGATCTGGGTTGGGAAGATCCCCTGGAGAAGGGAAAGGCTACCCACTCCAGTATTCTGGCCTATTCAGTCCATGGGGTTGCAAAGAGTCAGACACAACTCAGCAACTTCACTTCACTTCATTCCCATCTGAGCGCCTGTGTCTGACCCGCTCACCCCTTGCTGGGCTACCAGGAGGAGTTCCTGAGACTCGCTAAGCCTGGGTCTCCTCCCGGGTGGAATGAGGGGGCCTGCCCCGCCCCTCAGGGCCGTCTGAAGGGGCACCAGCCAGACCCGACCCACGGGAATCACCTTTGCACATGACCTGCTGCTGTCCCCTGGGTAAGCCTGCAACAGGAGCCAGAGGGCCTCGGGCCACCCAGCTCTGCCGCAGGAAAGGAAAACCACTTGTCCGCTGGGTGCTGGGGCAAGGACGAAGCCTGGCGGGAGTTGGCTAGCAGGCTGAGACCCCGGGCTCTGCAAGGCAGGTGGACCCCAGGTATGCTGAGAAGGGAGATAAGAGGGCGGCCTCCGTGTCTCTGTCCACCTGGGGCGCCTGTCCGGGCCCGGGACCCTGTGAGCGCTTTCACCACTAGAGGGCACCCTGAGCTGGGCTTGATGTTCAGTCGCTCAACCGAGTCTGCTTCTCTACGACCCCATGGACTGCAGCACGCCAGGCCTCCCTGTCCATCACCAACTCCCGGAGCTTACTCAAACTCATGTCCATTGAGTCAGTGACACCATCCAACCATCTCATCCTCTGTCATCCCCTTCTCCTGCCTTCAATCTTTCCCAGCATCAGGGTCTTTTCCAATGAGTCAGCTCTTTGCATCAGGTGGCCAAAGTATTGGAACTTCAGCTTCAGCATCAGTCCTTCCAAAGAATATTCAGGACTGACTTCCTTTAGGATGGACTGGCTGGATCTCCTTGCTGTCCGAGGGACTCTGAAGAGTCTTCTCCAACACCACAGTTCAAAAGCATCAATTCTTCAGTGCTCAGCTTTCTTTATGGTCCAACTCTCACATCCATACATGACTACAGGAAAAACCAGTGGTTCAAAATAGCTTTGACTAGACGGACCTTTGTTGGCAAAGTAATGTCTCTGCTTTTTAATATGCTGTCTGGGCTTGATGTTCAGTTGCCAAGCCGTGTCTACTTCTCTGCGACCCCATGAACTGCAGCACGCCAGCCTTCCCTTCCCCATCTCCTGGAGCTTGCTCAAACTCAAGTCCATCGCGTCGGTGATGTCATCCAACCATCTCATCCTCTGTTGCCCCCTTCTCCTCCTGCTCTCAATCTTTCCCAGCATCAGGGTCTTTTCCAATGAGCTGGCTCTTCCCATAAGGTGGCCAGAGAATTGGAGCTTCAGCTGGGCTTATGGTCCCTTAAAGGAAGGGATGCCATTGTGGGGACTCTCAACCACACGCCCCCTTCTTCCCGAGACCCTCTGCCCTGCAATGAAGGACCAGTGTGGCCATGAGGGGCAGTGCAGAATCCTCTTGCCCAGTGGGCTTCAGAGGCAGAGGCCAAGCTTCACCAGAGCCATGCAACTCAAGCTCTGCTTGTTACGGAGAAGTTCAAGGGTTTCTTTTTCCAACCATGTGACACAGAAAGCACAAATGTCTCTAGAGTGTTGGGTTCAGCCACTACCCACCGACCTACGGGCTCAGGCATCCCGAAGATCTTCTGAATCCCACGAATAATTCACATGGAGCAGCTTTCTGAGCGGTGGGTGGCGTGTGTCTGGGACACGGGGTGGCGGTGGTCACAAAAGCAGGCCCAGGATGGAGGGTGACCCCACAGCAGGATGGTACGAGCAAGGAATCTGGACACAGACACAGGAGCTGAACACCGGCTCGGGTTCCAGCAGTGACAAGAGGCCTACTGTCAGCGTCCTCGTGTGTCCACTGGGGACGGCAGGCCGGCCTGCAGGACCAGGAAGACGGCCGGATACACGACACGGGGAGCACCCGCCTCAGGTCCTGGCACACAGCACGTGCCTCGGACTGTTTACGCAGCTCTCATTGTCATGAATTTGGCCCAAATAGACCCTCGGTTAGGTGTGGACAGTCAGGGAGGCAGGGCTGGTTTAGGGAGAGGCTCCACGTGGGGTGGGGCTTCCCCGATAGCTCTGTTGGTAAAGAATCCACTGCAGCGCGAGAGACCTGTGTTCGATCCCTGGGTTGGGAAGATCTGCTGGAGAAGGCATAGGCTACCCACTCCAGTATTCTGGTGTGGAGAATTCCATGGACTATACAGTCCAGGGGGTCGCAAAGAGCTGCACACAGCTGAGCGACTTTCACTCACTCACTCCACGCGGGGTGTGAGAGCCTGAGCCTCCTTAGAGGGGGCATCACGGAGGGTCTGCAGCACGGGGCTGGCACAGTCATTTAGGGCCGACATGCTGGAGGCTGGTCACCATCACCCCCTGGGTACCCCTGAACCCAGAGCTCTGAGAAGGCACCAACTGGGGACAGAGTGAAGGCCACAACGCTGGTCAGCGTTGGGTGGGGCCTCAGGCCCACGGCCTTGCCCCTTGCCCCACATACCTCCCGGGAGCCGCAGAAATGGCCAGGAGCGGGAGCAGCCTGGCAGCGTGAAACAGAAGAGGCACGGTCAAGTGTGAGGACAGAGGCAGGGTCACATTAATCCCGCAGATGTCCCCTCCACACTGCACGGTGAGCTCGGCCTGGGGACAAGGGCCGGCTGAGCAAGGCTGATGTTCGTTCCACGCAGAGAGCAAGATGTGGGGAAGGTTAGGGTCCCCGTGAGGCCACGGAGAACAGCAGGGAAGATGAGGCTGGCCTGGGAGTGAACCAGAAAGGGAAGAGTCTGCAAAAGGGGACACTGTGCGTCACAGGGCCCCAAACCAGAGAAGGTGCTGAGAGCTGATGGGCTGTGGACGGGCTGAGGGCCAAAGACGTCCCCAGGCTGGGGAAAGAGGAGGTGGAGCTGTGAGGAGAAACAATCACTCACTTGGGCCACCACAGACAGCTCACGGGGGAAAGCTAGGCCAATTGCCACTGGACGGTCAGTCTCACAGGGCCCGGGTGCCAGCCTGAACCCTATCTGAAGGGCAAGTGGAGCCCCAGGATTCTCCACAATGGGATTCCATCCTATGCTCAGAATTCCAGGCCGCCAGAACCAGGCCTCAGCCGTCAGCTTGAGGAGGGGGCCCCAGAAAGCAGACCTTCCCCCCAACATGGTGAAAAATGGTGCCCCAGCTCAGCCTTGTCCACGGGGAGGGTAAGGACTGGTCTTGAGACGTGGCCATGAGAAGGCAGGTGCAGACCTGGCCTCTGGGTCTGCGTCCTGCAGGGCGGGTGGGGGTAAGAACCCTAGGGACAGACCCCGTGCCTTCAAGCAGGGTGCAGCCAAGATGGTACTTTCTTACTGGGATGGTACTAAGATGCAGCTAAGGCAATGGCACGTTTCCCTGGGTTTGGATGAACAAAGGGCCCAGCGCCTCCTGAATGCCTGCTGGCTCCTCAGAGCTACAGATGGGAATTCAGGGCGCCGTGGGTAGGGCTGCCAGGCCCACCTCTGTCCACGGCGGCAGGGGGGGCCATGGGGCAGGGCCCAGTCCCCCGACTCTCAGGTCTCAGCTGTGTCCCAAGGACGCAGAGGAGGGGAGAAGAGAGGTGCAGGGGTGAAGGTGAAGGGTGGGCAGGGCTGGCCTGGTGGTGACTGACAGCTGACTGTTGGGGGCCTCTTCGGAGCTTGTGGGAAACGGGCATGGATGAAGGAGGTCACAGGCAAGGGGTGCCAGAGAAAGGGGGGCTGAGTGAAACAAAACATCGACAGGAGGGCCTATAGGCCGGGGACACCCTCCCCTGGTGCCCAACTCAGGCCAGGGAGGTGGGGAGGCTGGGCCTGGCAGGCAGAGGCCGCATCCAGCAAGCTGCTGGTGGGGTGTCCCAGCTGGAGCCCCCGTGTGCTCCAGACAGAAAGGGGGCCAGTGTTCTCAGCAGAGGTGCCAGAGGGGTGGTACACAGCCAGTGATGGACAGGAGTCTAGGGCCCGGCTGAGTGCAATGCTCCCCACGGCTCAGATAAACAGGACGTGGGTGCACCCCTCCACAGCGCTCCAGAGCGGGGATGTCTGGAATCACAGCCGCATTCCCAGACCACCCTTGAGCACCTGCCCTGGGCCGGGCACCCATGTGTGTCTGCTCTACGGACGAGCTCGTTTCATCCTCACAAGGGAGGTGAGCACTGTCACGAACTTGGGTTTGCCGATGGGGAGACAGGTTCATAGAGAAGGTCCTGTCCCAGGTCACACCTCAGGGAAGCTGCCAGGAAAGATTAACAGGGGGGCCATGCTCCTCATCCCAGGATCAAGGGGCACAGACAGGAAAAACTCATGGTCACCCGTTAGGGGAGTGGGGGGTGGTGGACTGCCGGGCATTCCACAGGCTCCCCAGGCCCCGGCCTCCCTGGCTGACCCGGAGTGACCGTGACCGCAGTGCTCTTGAATGATCCGGGGACGTCAAAGGCACTGACCTTCCTCTCAATACTGGCCTGGGAGCTGCACAGAGAGCTGTGCAGAGTCGAGGGGAACAGAAGCCCGTGTATCCTGAGATGTCTCTTGTGACAAAGAGCTGCCCCCTCTGGGGGCAGGGGAACCAGGCCCGGGGACTGATGGGGAGAGCGGACAGACTCCCATCTCAACTGATGCTTGGGAGCCTGGGGGCTGGCATCCTTGAGCCAAGAGCTCCCAGAAAAGGGAGCTCACCCACAGCCCCTAGATCATGGAGGAGGAGGCCACCCTGGGTCCCGTCCATGTTCAGCTTGGCAGCCACGGAAGGTGCTCAACTCCCTGAGGAGACGGGGATCTCAGTCACAGGGCACAAAGATGCAGAGATGAGCTGGCAGGTGCAGGACCTGTCCTGCCGGGACACTCCCCTGCACGGCCTGTCCGCCGGTCCCACTGCATGGGGTCTGGACGCAGCATTGCAGACACTGGAGTGAGCGCCAGGCAGCCCAGACTGGACCCAGCCCCGCTGTGAGATGGCCCGAGGACTGGGGGATAGTCTGTCTACCACCCTCTGCTCTCAAGACGCCGCCTGCAGCACTCCCCCCAAAGGCACGACAGCTGGGCCTCCCGCCAGCCCTCTGCCCCGCACTCACCCCCACCGCAGGCTGCCTCGACCTCCCCGTTCCTGCCACGGCCACCCCACCCATCCCAGGACACGCACACCTTGGGCTGCCGGCCCTCCTCCGACCTTGAGCAGGAAGAATGGACCCGTGGGAGAGGGGAGAAGGTAGGTGAACGAGAGGAAACGGAAAGATGGAAAGAGGACGAAAGGCAGAGAAGGACTTGAGGGCCGGGGGCGGGGGTGGGGGGAGGGAAGGGGCGGGAGGAGGGACTCTGTCTGCAAAGAGGAGAGACATCCGGGCTCCATGATCCGCTTTTCCCTTATTTTCCATCTCTTCTCTTTGCCCGTGAGCATCTCAGGCACTCGGGGCACTGAGCTCAACGTTAACTCTTCAGCATCACCTCCGCCCGCTTTGGGGCACCCAGGGACCAGGGAGGAGCCCCGAGGGAAGGGCAGAGAAAGGGGTGAAGCCTGGAGGGAGAGGGTGGGCTCAGCAGCAGCCAGGGGCGCAGGGAGGAGAGGTCTGTCTCGGCTCGAGCGAGTCCAGCCTCGCGGCACCTCCGGTGAGCTGGGAGAAGCTGGGAGGAAGGGAGCCTTACCTTACGAGACGGAGGCTTTTCTGAACTCTCCAGGTCTCCATCCAGGAGCGGCATGGCAAAGGAACTCAGGTCCTAGGATGGAAAGTGGGCACGTGGTCAGTGACCTGGACCCTTGGGGGCCCACCTGGCCCCACCTGGGGCCGCACGTGGGGCTCCGGGTGTATCCCCAGCCCCTTGCTGAGTCCTCCTCGAACGTCAGCCACCATGGAGGGAGGCAGACGGCCACGAAGGTGGACGAAGGCACTGGAGACGCCCGCCCTGGGCCCCCCTCGGGGATCCAGCCCGCTGTCCACCTTCCCTCTCGACGCCCCAGGGAAGGAGCAGGAAGAAGGCACCCAGACCGCAGGGCAGGAGGGAGAGAGCGAAGGAGGAAGGCTGGGGAGGGAAGGGAGAGCCCAGTGGCCGCTTTGGGCACGAACGTGGCCCGAGGATGTGCGTCCTCCTGGGGAGAGGACAGGGCTGTGTGTTGGGGGTTGGCTGCTGGGGCAAAGCGCTCAGAAAAACCTGATGACATCGTGGCCTGAGAGATGTCCTTTGGGGGGTTGGGGGGGCAGGTAGTTGCCACAGACTCATCGTGTCTGAAACGATGAGACCCTCACCATCTCCTCCCCCCTCCTGTCTTCTGCCTGGTGGACACCTCCACTCGAGGCAGAAACCCCACCTGGGCAGCCCTCTCCCAGGAGAAACTGACCGCATCCTGAACCTTCTTTTTTTTTTTTCCCTTGTTAACTGTGGTAAAATACATAACACAAGATGTGGGCTTCCCTCGTGGCTCAGTAGTAAAGAATCCACCTGCCAATGCAGGAGATGGGGGTTGGATCCCTGGGTTGGGAAGATCCCCTGGAGAAGGAAATGGCAACCCACTCCAGTATTCTTGCCTGGGAAATACCATGGATGGAGGAGCCTAGCGGGCTACAGTCCACAGGGTCGCAAAGAGTTGGACATGACTTAGAGACTAAACAACAACAAACACAAGATTTGCCATCTTAGTCTTCTTAGTCATTTTAACTCAGCGGACTTGAGCACATTCACATCACTGCGCAAACAGCTTCCAAGGCCCTTTCCTTTCCGCAAAGTGAAACTCCATAGGCATTTGACAACCACTCCCCAGTCCCCTCCTCCAACCCCCGGCTCCCCGCATTCTACTTTCTGTCTCTATAAATGTGACAGCTCTAGGGACCTCATGGAAGTGGAATTGTGCAGTATTTATCTTTTTTTGTGACTAGCTTATTCCCTTTTGCATCAAGTCCTCAGTTTCATCCATGTTGTAGCATGTGACAAAATTCCCTTCCTTTTAACGGCTGAGTAATGTTCCATTGTATGGACAGACCACATTCTGCTTATCTATTCATCTATTAAGGGATTGGAAAGACCCTGATGCTAGGAAAGATTGAAGGCAGGAGGAGAAGGGGACAACAGAGGATGAGGTGGCTGGATGGCATCACCAACTCGATGGACATGAGTTTGAGCAAGCTCCGAGAGTTGGTGATGGACAGGGAAGCCTGGCGTGCTGCAGTCCATGAGGTGGCGAAGAGTCAAACATGACTGAGCTACTGAACTGGTTGCTTCCACCTTTTGGTTACCATGACTAATGCTGCTATGAACACAGGAACTATGGATTGAATTGTGTGCCCCTCAAAATGAATAGGTTTGAAGTTACACCACCCCAATACTCCAGAATGTGACTGTACTTGGAGAGTCTTTGAACTATGATAATATGAAGCTATACGGGTGGGCCCTCCATAAGACCTCAGTCCAATATGATTGTGTCCATAGAAGAAGAGAGCATTAGGATAGACCCAGAAAGAAGACCGTATGAACTCAGAGAGAGAATGGCCATCTACAAGGCAAGGTAAGAGGTCTCAGAAGTCACTCACTCTGCCAACACCTTGCCCTTGGACTTATAGCCTTGAGAATTGTGAGAAAATAAATTTCTGCTATTTAAGCCACCCAGTCTGTACCACTTTGTTACGGCAGCCCTAGCAAACTAATACAACAGGTGTACAAATATCTCTGCAACCCTGCTTTCAGTTCTTTCGTGTATGCACCCAGATGTTGAATTGCTGGACTATACAGTAATTCTATTTTTAACACTCTTGAGGAACCCCCATATTTTCCATAGCAGCCGCACCATTTTATACTCCCACCAAGAGTGCACGAGGGTGCCAATTTCTCCACATCCTCACTGGACACTTGTTATTTTCTGCTTTGTTTTAGTTATTGCTGTTTTAGCCATCCTAATGGGTGTGAGATGGTATCTCAATGAGGATTTGATTTGCATTTCCCTAACGGTTACTGGTGTTGAGCATCCTTTCACATACTTGTTGGCCATCTGTGCATTTTCTCTGGAAAAAATGTCTATTCAAGAAGTCCTTTGACCATTTTTTAAACCAGGCTGCTGGCCGGTCGAGTTGAAAGGAGTTCTTTACATAATCTAGATATGACCCTTTTATCAGATATATGATTTGCGAGTGTTTTTTTCTCCTTCTGTAGGTAGCCTTTTCACTTTGTTGATTGTGTTTTTTGTTGCACAGAAGTTTCTAATTCTGATGTAGCACAATTTCTCTATTTTCACTTTGCTGCCTCTGCTTTTGGCGTCGTGACCTGGGTTTGGTCCCTGGGTTGGGAAGATCCCCTGGAGGAGGAAATGGCAACCCACTGCAGTATTCTTGCTTGGAGAATTCCATGGACAGAGGAGCCTGGTGGACGACAGTCCATGGGGTCACAAAGAGCTGGATACGACTGAGCGACTAACACTTTCACTTTGGTGTCATGTCCAAGAAATCACCAAATCCAAGGTCATAGAGGAAGCTTTTCCTCTATGTTCTTTCCTAAGAGTTTTTTTTCAAAAAAATAAATTTAAACTTTTTTATTTGCTCAATGTGGGAAATATCAAAATCACAGAACTGAGGAAAATCAATTTTATTTTATGTAAACTCTAAAAGGCCAACCAAAGTCAAATCATATTTGATAAAATGAATAATTTTAAATTAGAAGCCAATAAATGTTTGTTTCCCAGAGAAGCCCTAGACATATAATAACTTTTAGTTAGTCTTTTATTAACAAAGTTTGGGCATATTAGTTTCATCTTTTTAAAATGCTACTTTTAAAGCAACAATGGAGGTAAGAAAATATCCTTTACTCCTGAAAATATTTTTAGCATGATCTTATTTAGTTGCTAAGTCCTGTCTGACTCTTTGCGATCTCATCAACTGTAGCCTGTCAGGCTCCTCTGTCCATGGAATTTCCCAGCAAGAATCCTGGAGTGGGTTGCCATTTCTCTCTCCATTTCCTAAGAATTGTATAGCTTTAGCTCCTATGTTTAAGTCATTGATCTACTCTGAGTTACAGAAGCTCCTCCCCCAATATCAGCAGTCTCACCTTCCAAGATTTCTAAGTTAGTTGAGGTCAACTGGGGTCCAAAAACATTTAATGGAAAATTCAAGAAATAAGCAATTCATATATTTTGAATCTCATGCCATTCTGAGTAAGCTGATGTCTTCATGTAAGACATGTAAGTCTGTCTTCATGCCAGTACCACAGTGTTCTGATGATTGTAGCCTTGTAATAAGATCAGGAAATGTGAGACTTTGCTCCTTTCTTTTTCTCAAGATAGTGTGGCTTCTTGGGGTCCCTTGAGAGTTCATACAAATTTAACGATGGCTTTTCTATATCTGAAACAGGGATTCTGATAGGGATGACATTGAATCTGTAGATGACTTTGGGTGATACTGACATCTTAACAATATTAAGTCTACCAATTAACGTACATGGTATGTCTCTCCATTTATTCGTCTTCCCTGATTTCTTTCAGCAACATTTTATAGTTTTCTGTGTACCTACCCTTGCTTTTGGGGTTTTCCTGGTAGCTCAGCTGGTAAAGAATCTGCCTGCAATTCAGGAGACCCCCAGTTTGATTCCTGGGTCGGGAAGATCCCCTGGAGGAGGACATGGCAATCCACTCCAGTAACTGGTCTTACCTGGAGAATCTCTATGGACAGAGGAGCCTGGTGGGCTACAGTCCCTGGGGTCACAAAGAGTCGGACATTACTGAGCAGCTAAGCACAGCACCCTTGCTTTTCTTTTTTTTAAATTATATATTACTACAGTTTATTAAATAATGACACAAGGTTTATGCCACATTTTCCAACAATGTTTAAATAAAGAGTTCAAAATATAAAGGCTTATGAAAACTTTTACAGTCTTTATATAATAATATACACTATTTCTGGTGCATGAATAAATACAGAAAACAGAAGCCGTTCTTCGTATCACAATCAGCCAAACTTAGCCATTAATGATTACACAAATCCACAAGCAAACAAAAAAAAAATCCACTTTCTTCATTTGGGTTATAAAAGCTAAAAATCCCTTTGCTACATTTAACAATACCCTCGGGGGTGGAGGGAGGGAACTTATAGTCACAGACCGGAGACAAGGAGACCAAATCTCCCAGTCCTTCAAGTTCTTCCTTGGTTAGAAGCTTCAACAACTGCATAAATCGTTCAGGGAACAGAAAAAAAAAAAAAAATCAAAACAGGTTAAGACTCGGTTCTATAAGGTATTTATAATAAGTCTGCACTGAAGAAATACAGCATTTTTGTCTTAAAAATGTGCTTACCTTTTACAGAGAGGTTTGGTTTTCTTTTCATCCTGGTATGAACATGAACATATTGGAATAAACTGATATAATGAATAGTGCATGCCATTCAGTCTTTTCACGGTCTTCAAAATGAACTCACTTCTACTGTTTTAGGAATTATATGTACACTTATAATGTTTTCTACATTAAGGGGAAAAAACAAAGAGTGGCTCATAAAAAGTCATCCTTTAAACTCAAGGAACCCAAAAGTGAAAGCCTTTCTATAGAAAGCCCTTACATCAATGGAATGTTCTGGTAAGAAGAGAAGTCTCCTCTCCAAATATATGGTTTGTTACAAGGGATGAGGCCTGAAGAGGGTCAGCTCTCTAGTATCACACCGGGAGCTGGTCAGCGAGAACTAGACTTCCATCTGAATCTTGAAGCAATCAACACCTACCTGCCCCTCTGACCTCCTCCTTTCTTGTCTTAG